AATGTGTACACCTAATTATTTATCTGATCTGCGGTAGCAAAAAATAAACATTACACTATACTATAGTAAGTTTTACACATAAATAAACTAAATTAATATAAAAATAAATTAGAATAAATAGATTATTATAGAAGTAGCTTAAAAAATTAACGTTTCCCTAAAAAAATATTTTTATATATAATGCACAATACTGATTATTATATTACATTACTAATTGTGTTTAACGCCCAGCGATAGGAGAACAGTAGGTGACTTTGTTTTATTTTTCATGTTTGTAGAGTGGGTTTTAACACAGCCCACCTTTATCTAAAAATCAATCTGCAAGTTATAATGATATTATAATATTATTATTAAACTTGAGAATTTTGAATGGCATTTTTCAGAATTTTCTGAATTTTTAAACACAAAATCTGTTTCATACATCAAAAAAAAAAAAATTTTTTTTTATTTTTATGGCATATTTATTTATTTTTTTTTTTAATTTGAAGCTATTTTTAATACCTGGAGTACCTAAATTTTTTTTATATTTTATTGTAAAAAAAAAAAATTGCCATAATAAACTACTTTAATCTAAAAATAAAAATATAAAATAGATATTATATTATATTTTGTTCAGTTACATTATTTTTATTGCGAATTTTGTTATTATCTATGTACCTATCAGGCAAAAACACAAAAGTCTGAAAAATGAAATTTTTTTCACGTATATACAAAGAAGGTTACCTACTGTAGGTATAATATATAGATAGGCTGTTTTATTTATGACTATAATCACTATAACATCAAATTATATAATTTTAAATATTACTGATAGATATTTTTATTTAATCATTTTTATATAAAACGACAAAAACCAATTAAAAAAAACATTTTTTTAAATTGTATTATCAGTATTTTAAATAGTATTTCTTTAAAGCATTTTTATTTTATAAAATATAAAAAACTGCATCATAATTATAAAAATATCGTTTTTGGTTCGCACAAAACATATTATGTGACGCTGAACCTTCAATTGAAGCGTCTGCACTCTGCAGTGTGTATTACATGATGATGTCGCAAAAATTGGATAATACATGGAAGGAATACATGACAGAGCTTTTATTTTTTGTTCGCCCATTCTAACAAATAATAACCGTTGTCCCAGACCTTTTTTTCGGTGAATAATAATATCGCACCTTTGAGCAAGGATGTACGTCTTAACCTACAGTGAGTCTCATCGGATAATAGTAATACTAATAATAATAATAATAATAATAATAATAATAATTGTAACGTATTTCTCGGAATATATTATTATTTCTGCATTAATTCTCTTGATTCGATTCAATCGCGTCGTTATAATATTATATAGTTTACATCGAATATACATTTTAAAGTGTTTACGCTGGCCCGCTGTACCGTTGTAAATCGTATACAATATACATAAATATCGAGAAACGACAGAGATTTATTTCGTCAGTCACCGTCTGCAGGTTTGGAATTACCATCGTTGTTTCTATTTCCTAAACATTCCGCGTGGTGCTTGAGCGTAATTTATGCCATAATTATTCTGCACTCGTATAATTACTCTTTGAACGAGAGTATAGTCTGTTCCGATTAAAAAGCCAAGTCATCAGTTTGATCGTAGAAATCGTCGTAAAATTTAAAAAACCAACTGCGTTATATGTTTTTGTGCATCGACAATAAAAAAATAAATATCAACATATTTCATTTGATCGCAAAATAAATACAGTGATGACGAACGTAACTACGAACGACAGCCTAATTGCAGTATAATTATAAATAAGATTTCGTATAATATTATATTATCGCTATATCGTGCTACAGCCATAACAACAATATGATGATACTAACTGAAGAAAACAATAATAATTCTGTTTGAGTCGTTATGAGACCGTTATATACGAGGAATTTAAATAAAAACGCCATAAATGTATAAACGGACTAATATTATAATAATGTGAATAAAAAAAAAAAAAAAAAAAATGTTTAAATAATAATAATAATGTTATAGAAACCAGATTTTTTTTTTTTAATTAAAATTTACATTTAAACGAATATCTTATAACTACACACAGCAGCAATGGCAGCATGTAGATACTATTATATTATACATATATTATATTATGAGCTTTCCTACGCACGCTCTATCACGTCTCTTCATTGTTTCGATTTCGTTTGAACGTTAACAATACTACAATATTTTTGATTTACTCATAGTCAAACGACTGAAATACATAATATTATGTATGTACAATTCTAGATAATATACTGCATAAAGCTGCCAAGTTCGTAGCGTATGTACATTCCATGAAAAAATATACGCTTATAATCACACACACACACACACACACACACACACACACACACACACACACAC